TTTGTCTTTCTGGAGCCATCTGTTGCAATGAGTGTTACACATTTTGCCCTTTGCTCCTTCAATTGTTGTGAGGCCTGTGTTGCTGTAGAGATAGCCCAGTAATTGTCCAGAATTGGAACAGCCTCTCATAAAGATGGGCCTAAATGACATCCTTGCTTGTACAAACCTACAGTATATGCATTCATACCCAACCTTTGAACATTTCACTACCTCAAGCATGACACAATTATTGATTCTACCTGTGCACATACATGTACACACACACACACATTACACAACCAATAAGCACGCTCTCAGTGCAGCCTCAGGCACTGAGTAGCCTCATATTATTATCCCAAATGTTTCTCAATAGTTCTGTGACTTACAGAAATGAATATTTGGAAAGGAAGCTAGGGGTGTGTATGTCTTTCTGCATGAATACAGTACAGTAGTCCCTCGATACTTCGCGGTTCGACTTTCGTGGACTCACTCTTTGCGGGTTTTCAATGTAAGATTGTACACGACACACGATCGTCAACTTGAATATTACATGATTGGGACGATACGGGATAAAATTTAATGGGAGTGGATGAGAGCGGGAACCAACCAATAGGACAAAAAATAAAAACAAAACAAAAAATAAATACGTTGGACAGGCACTGCCATTTTGTAGTTTTCTTTCATAAAGCCTGCGCTGTAATGCAAGTCAAAAGAACTTCATGGCCCAGAAGCCAACAGTGCTTCCGACCTTCTTTCTGCTGAACAGCAATGGAGGGAGCAAATGCTAACGGAGAAACCGATGTGGTAAAAATAGTTTTGCAACGCAAAGTCAGAAGTAATGATCTTAATGATATTTAAGCTCTGGCAACTGGCAGGAAAGTCGCAAATGGGGGCCGAGACGGGGTAGAGGCAGGGCAGCTGACTCGGAACCCGAAAGTCAGGTTCAATCCCCAGTCATTGCACATCTCATAGTGTCTCTGAGCAGCACACCCTATCCCCAATTGCTCCCCGGGCACCTTCAATAGCTGCCCACTGCTCCACCTCGGGGTGGATGAGTTAAATGCAGAGAGCCAATTTTGCCATTGTATGGGAACATACAATGATGAAACACATTATTATTATTATTATTATTATTATTATTATTATTATTATTATTATTATTATTATTATTATTATTATTATTAATAAATAATCCTGAAGCTGAACTTATCCTTCAAGTTGTAGTAGTATTTTCACTGGTGAGTACCCATATAAAATTTTGCAGTACTGTACAGTACAGATATACGTATGTTTTTTTTTTTTATAACATATGTTTAAGGGTTTAGAACATTGTTAAGAACCTTGCAAGTGTGCGAAACGGATTATAAAGCCTTAATATATATATATAAATACCAAAATAAATATAACGTCCTTACGCGGATTTTTACCTATTGCAGGGGTGTGTCTGGAACGTAACCCCCACGATAAGTGTGGGATTACTGTACATGCATTTCATATCTCCCACCACATCCTTGTCTGAGCTGGTTTCATATATTACGATAAATATTTCAATTTTAAAAAAAGTGTGGTCTGTGGAAGACAGTTTGTTCTCGGCTTGTCCCATCAATTTGCAGTTCAACACCTTTGCTCAGAATGGGACACAGACAGGCCGATTCATGCCCTGTGTGTGCAGGGATGTGAAGTTAATCATCTCTGTCTTGAGCTGAATTCACTGATGAGTTGAAGCAGCTGTTTTTCAAGACAGACAGACCAAGACAGAGTGATGAAAGACACAAAGTGGGTTAGTTAGACTGATGCGTGATTTTGACAGTGAAGGAATGGACTGGCACATAGCTCAAGAGTTTTTTTTTTTATCTACTGCTACTCTTTCCTTTTTTTTAAATAAAAAATCTGTCAGTATTTTGTTATTCTCTGCCTTTTTTTCCTTGCTCCGTCAGTCTCTCATTATTTTTTTCCTCTCTCTTTCATTGTACAGCCTGACTCTCCTGCTTTCTTTTGAAAACTCAGCAGACAAGCTCCTCAAGATTTTTTTTACCCCCTTTTCTTTGTTTTGTCTTTAGCTTGGAGCGGTAGACTTTTAAAGGTGTCAGCTTTGCTGGTTATGTGCAAAGTGGTTAAACATTTGTGATTTTTTTCTTTCTCCACTCTTGTAAAGTATGTGAAAGGAGTTTCAGTTGAAACTGTGTCCAGTGTTGTTTGAATGGGTGAGGCATGGGTGAAAGTAGAGGTGGGGTTAAATGTATCTGGTTGTTTGCCATCTAGGGATTGTATAGGGTCGCATCAACCTGTGTTTAAGAAATAGTTTTGAGAGGTGTTGCCATGACAGTATGACTTTTAAACAATTTTTTTTACAGCGATTATAATGAGCGTGTGTGTTTTATGACTCAGTAATTGTAAACTTATCTGCAGTATGTGTTTGCTCATTTTATCTCTACATCAACCCTGAAACTAAACACTACACTTCGGTGCCAAGAAAAGTTCTGATTGAAAGAATTTGGCTTTGGTTGTTTTCCAGACATTATTTTAATTAGTATAATCTTTGTTGAGAGCTTATGTTCATGGTCCTTCATTGTTCACAAACCATCCAGGTACCTCTCCTTCCACCTGCATTTCTGTGAGACCTCACACGAGACTCTGAAGTTGGATCAGGCTGTCTGATTCTCGGTGTTGTTCCGCTTGTGACAAATAGAACAGACAGCAACCCGAAACTCACAGTCCTGTTTGTTTCCTGTTGGTGCAGATTATCACATTTCATTAGCCAGAGGTATAAATCATTTAGGTATCATGGGAGACTATAGCATCATAATCTGGGAGATGATTTCTGTATTTGTTCTCATTTAATGAGATGGCATGTAAGTCTTGGGCTGTAAATTCAGTGATGAACACCTTCCCCCCCACCGGAAGCATTTGGTATTTATTCAGCAAAAAATGTCAAGCCTTCAGCCTCCCATAGAGCTTTTTAAACACTATTTGTAAAAAGGGGAAAGCTCGGTTCAGGCTTGTTTTATGACATTCTGCTGCATCTGAGTTGGACATTTAAACTGTTCTTGTTCACCTTTAAACAAAAACAGGCACACAGATGAGGTTAATGATTGTCTACCCTCAATCTGTAACTCAACTTGTTAGGCTTAATTATGTATTGCTGCATTGCACAATGTGCCCTGTTAGAAAAATCAATGTTAAAATGTCTGTTTGTTTGTTGTTGCCTTTTTGATAAGCACTTTCTGTTATATCAGATCTTTCAAGTAAAGTTGCCTCTCATGAATCTAAAATTCCTTTGACATGGAATCATCCTTTACAATTTACTCCTTGTTTCCATTGATCTTGTTCTACGGGTTTAATCTTTGAGTCATACCTTCATTTGTTCTGTGTGTGTTGTCATGTTGATATGTACTGTGCGATGTTGCCACATCAGATTGCTCCCGCGGAGTTTGGCTTCTAAACAGCACCGAGTAATGGTGGTGCAGGGCGAACAGGTCAGCAGCCAAGGAGGAGTGGGGTGAGGGCTTTGTTAAATTCTTCCGGCTCAGAAATGAAGTCAGTGCATTCCTACAAAGCTGCTCCCAATAGGCAGCTAGTGGAGCAAAGCCATGATTTGAATGAAGGACGCGGAAAAAAACACCTCCCATTGAGAAACTAGACAGAAAGAGAACACCATGTCTGACTGAGTGAAGAGTTCTCATTTAGCCACATGGGTTACAAAATTTAATTTACTGTGCCAAGCTTTAGAGACAACTGCCTAAAGCATTTCATGATTTTATATGCACCACAGTGATTTATAGCCTTGTTTTGAAGTTTAGCTCTTAAAAGTACTGATGGAGGTGGGGGGGACCAAGCCTAATGATATTTATTTAGGTTAAACCTGCTGCTCAGCTCTGTGAAGTCAGTTGGGCTCCAGCTCTGGTCCTGTTGAGGCTGCTCAAAAAGAGCACATATGCACACAAGCTTGTCCTGTTTTTTTCTGCAATGTTTTTATGTTTCTTCTCCTCAAACACACACACTTGACTTGCTCTGCTTTCCCTGTCAGTTCCCCTCGGCAGTAAGCTATCATAACTGCTTTGAAGGAGGGCAGCAGAGCGTTTAATTGGGTTACGTGTTGGCATTTATGCACACAGGTCCACCAGATACCGTCAGGGCTTTTACTTAATCTTTATGACCTTAACAAAATGCTATACTAATGTACTTGTCGCCTGCTAGTCTTATGATTATGACGATATTACTAAATGTGGCACAATCTTTGATGTCAGCCCTGTTTGGTGGATAAACTTGTTTTATAATAAAATGATGAGTATGTAAGATTACCCTGAACATGACATAAGTGCATTTGTTTAAGTTTTCAACAGGTGTAATATGTTGGATTTCACCGTGTGTCGTAACGGGGGGCTGGCGCTGATAAACCCAATGGTGCAGACAGGCAGTAGCAGACTCAGGAGATTATAAAATAAAGTATTTATTAACAAGAAATCAAAAACACTGACGGTGCAGCAAGACGTATATAAATCACATAGAGCAGACAAGACATTGCCAGTGGACAGCTTACAATGCCAGGACAAAGGACTAACACAGAGGTACAGACTATATACAGTGACTAATGAGCCAAAACACCTGTGAGGACACACAGCTGAAACACATCAGGGGAAATGATAAACTAGGAAACCAGGGAGTGCAGGAACAGACACACAACACCAGATGGAGGCATACACTAGGAAAACACAAACCCTATTGAAAACAGAAACAGAGTATAAGGAGGACACAAGACAAACACAACAGAAGATGGGGCTAGACACCAAGAAACAGACCACAATCCCTACACTGTGAACTCCTAATAATATTTTTTTAATATGCTATTGATTATTATTTTGTTAAAACTATTCCAAAAAGTCTAACCTTACCATTAGGATGTAATGAATGAGCCATTTACATTAATATGTATCTTTTCTGTCTCCTCTGTCCTTGTTTCACAGACGGTCATGCAGCAGTAAGCTGTGTCAGGCCAAACGGAGTTGATCTGTTTTGAGGACCATTCTACATATCACATTGTCTCGTTTGGTCCCAAATGGAGCTCAAAGTGTGGGTTGATGGAGTGGTGCGGGTTGTATGTGGTCTGTCCGAAGAAACGTCTTGCCAGGATGTTGTCATTGCTTTGGCACAAGCCATTGGTGAGTATCTCAGTCCTAAATGTTGCCGTTTTATCTGTTTGTGATTTATGCCTTCAGGTTGTTAGTTTGCACCTTTTAGCTTTTCAATGACAGCTTTTCTACAAACTTTTACTGATCAGATACCAGCTTTGTGCAGTGAGATCTTGACAAAGACATGCAGTAATACATGCCAAGGTCAGGTCAAAAAGTTCTTATTTTTCCACTTTTTTTTCTCATCTGACTCAAATCTGGTCCACCGCTAGATCCTCTGTAGGTCAACTTGGATTTCAGCAAAGTCTCTGTCCCTTTACCAACATTTTCATAAAAGCTGTCTGCTGCAGCACCATTAAACAGCATAACTCCGGATTTAGATTCTCCTTCTTCCACGCGCGAGCTTGCTGCTAGCTAAGTCAGTAGGGAGAGTTTGCCCTAATTTTGAAGTCCTTGTGGAAACGTTCACTTTATCTGAACATATTTCACTTGTTGTGCACATGTTAAACATCTAGTTTCTTCCAGTCACAGCAACAAAGATTTAAATGAGTCAGCAAAATAAAATTGTGTAAGACAATACCAGCATTTTGTGATCATCTAAACACAGATTATTACTTAAAGTAATAAATAATCACATTAGGTTATGTAGAGTGTGTTGGTTTTCTTCACATACATCGATATTTACTCATCTTAATTAATATACTATTTCCTAACAGAGCTTAATGACATTCTACTCAAACTTCTTGACTTATAATGCTTTAAACTCCAGAGTTATCTTTCATCTCTTATGATCAACTTTGTGATTCTTTCTAAACAACTCAGACTTGTTTTTGAAGATATTTTCTTTTTCTGTCACAAGATGTGGAGTATTTGCAGAATGCAGTATGGCTGCAGGTAAAAAGAAAACATGTTTAGGGCAAGAGATTAGCAATGATCTTAGTTTTGAGTGATATGGATATGATGAAGGTTTTGATTGACTGCAGACATTAATGACAAAGGTAGTGAGATGTAACCTACAGCAGATGTGGCTCATCACAAGTTATGTGCTACAACTTGTGAACCAGAACATGAATGGAATTTTTCTATATTCAGCTCAAACATCAGCATAATTAGCAAATTGATGTTGCTGGGTTACTCACCTCCATATTTAACTCGTCTACTGCAACTAGCAGTTTCGAAGTACAAAGTAAAACACCCGATCCTCTCAGTATTTGTGGTTAACAACTCTAAAGACCGTCACACTTTGGCTCTGTGGCCTTTGCCTCTGCTGCTCCATCTGACTAGAACCTGCCTCAAAAAACTTTGGGTCTGACCTCACTCGTCTCAGTTTCTAGTTTTAAAAATCATTTAAACACCCTTTTTAAAGAGACAGTAGTCCCTGGATTATTGTGGGGATGGCATTCCACACACCTCCACGATAGGTGACAAACCGCGAAGTAGTAACGCTATTTTTATTTTAGTATTAGTATATTAAGGCTTTAGAAACCCTTCCCACACACTTACAATGTTCTAAACTCTTAAACCTTTGTAATTTTAACAACATATGTACAGTACTGTACATGTACTGTACAGTGCTGCAACATTTTCTATGAGTACTCACCAGCTCTGCAGAAGCTCGGTTCCAGTCAGGCTCAGTTCTGTTCAGCTAACCTGTAGCATGACACACCCACCGCCTCATCCAGATTGATGTGCGCATGCTGCCGCTCCAGGAAGGACATTACGCGCACAAGGCTGTCCAGGATGTAGTCCACCACCTCGGCACGGTCCTTACCAGCACCGAGCAACCAGAACCAAGCCGAACCAAGCCGAACCAAGCCGAACCTCGCCGCGGTCTGTTCCCTGCAGCCCCCAGGATCCAGGTCACACTGAGTCTAGATCAACTGCTACCCAGTTACTCACCAGTGAAAATACAACTTGAAGGAGGAGTTCAGCTTCAGGATTATTTGCGACTTTCCTGCCAGTTTTGTGAGCTTGATAGCGTAACTTTGTGTTGCAAAACTTTCCCTCCATTTTGGCAGAAAGCAGCAGCCGGAAGCACTGTTGGCTTCTGGGTAGTGTAGTTATTTTTGACTGGCATTACAGTGTAGGCTTATTGAAAGAAAACTACAAAATGGCGGCGCCTGTCCGAAGTATTTTTTTGTTAACGTTTTATCCCATACTGTCCCAATCATGTGAGTAGTATTAAAGTTGACAATCGTTGACAAACCGCCAAACAGCCAGTCCGCAAAAGTCGAACCGCGGAGTATCGAGGGACTACTGTACTTGCAAATGTTTTCAAGCTTAGTGTTGTTAACTTTGACAATGAACTATTATTAATGTACAAAGTTTGTTTTCTCAGTCATCCAGGTATATAACAAC